TCTTGTCAAGAATTATGGCGCCATCCGGTTTGCACTGGTGGCAAATTCCAACGCAAGTGAAGTCATCGTTGTTCCGGCCGCTTCTTCCGAAAACTTCTTCCAACGCCTTCAACAAGAGTGGGACTTCCTTTCCCTCACCAGCCACCTTTAGATCGTCAACATGTTTGACTTGTATCAGGACTAGCTTACCAATCACACGCTACCGTTCACATGCTTTACTTCGCACGCTGGGTCTGCTGACCACGGATTGGGGCCTATTTTAGTGTTCCGCGTCACACTGGCCAATTTTAGATTGAAAGCTCGCGGCGCGTCTTTAAGTCGGGTACCTGGCTTAAGAATCTTTCATCGTAATGTTCAGACCCTGGACTAAGGATCTGGGCAACGCTCATCCTGGCCACTGGTTTCGGCGTAGGAGTTACGCCTTGCAAAAATGCATTGTTGATATCACGCAAGTAGCAAATAACGATTCCGGGCGCACGCCACTTCCGGAAACAACAAGCGCCGGGCCATCTTGCTTCTGGGGCAGCATAGGAGACACCACTCCTTGAAGCCTCTTAATTAATGCCACGCGCATGCGAATATCGCGGCTTGTATATGGTTGACTTGGGTCTTTAACTTTCCACTTAGCGACAAATCTCGAGTTGTTGTTCGCGCGTGTGGACACTTGTCATCTTGGCGCCCCGAAGCGCTGAGCTCTCTGACGTCATCTAGTTCACTCCAGATGGACCTTGGCCCCTCATAGGCATCGGTGGTACTGGCGCTGTCGGAAGTGGAAGCGTCTCATAGATCCCAGGCGCCGCTGTTGGTGTCGTCGCCGGTGAATCTCCTCCACGGGCAATTGCAGCAGCCGTTAGTTGCACCTCTACCTCCAAGGCGCGTTGTGGCTGGTCATAAAGCAGTTCGGGCTCACGCACTCCTCCTTGAAGTGCCATGTACGTCACGCTTTCCTTCCTGCTCACTGCTCAGTGTTCTCGAGGTTCCTGCTGGATCCACTCTTTGGAGTAGCCGTTGCCATTTGATGATTTGCCCTTACCTCCAAAGCTGCTGCCCTTCTTCCCTTTTCCTTTTGACCTCTTGGCTGGGCAGGTAAGGTCATGAGCCCATTGTCCCACTTGTCCGCATGCCCTGCGCTTGGGTCTCTGTTCGGCGACTAGAACTTCGGCTTGTCGACGCTTGTCGATCTTGCGGCGTCATGGACGTAGTTGGAGCCCGTCACGGGTGCGGGTTGCTCCGACTGCGCCGCAATCTCTGTCTCCCCTGCGTTGCACGATTGCTATGTCCACGTCCTCTGTTCTGCATGCTGCAGACCTGTGCATGGCTGCGCTGGTCTGAGAACCGCGCCATACCTCTTCCTCGATCTCTTTCCCCTTCTCGTTCACGAAGTAGGCATCTTCATCCTCCTGGTAGGCCTGGTGCACCAGTGTTCTGATACCTGAAGGTCTCGTCGTTGTACTGGCCAAACTGATATCTCAAGGCATTCCCAAGCTTCGTCAAATCCGAGAGTTCGTTGAAACAGACGGCAGGCGGCCCAGTGGGAGCGCCGACAGGCCACGGTCGATGACGGGCGCCGTGGCGATGTGAGCCAAACATGGTCAGCTGCGAATGCTTTGCCTTCCTGTAATCGGCGGAAATGTTCTTTCCAGGCTTCTCGTTCTCCTTCCGGGTGCGTCGGTGACGTGGGTCCGAAGCCGGAGATCTTTGAGTCCCAACTCTTTATGCAGTTCAAATACTTTGCGTGAATCTCCTTCGGCTAGTGTCAGTTCATCGGTCAGCGTCGACCCACTCCCATTTCCAACAACGTCGGGTCAGTTTACGGCGCTTGGTCGCGTCTCGATGGGCCTGCGCCGCTTGGAGGTCGTCCTGGCGGGTAGGGGATCGGACCGGAAAGCGCGCAGCTGGGCATAGGTGGTTGCGACTGCGTCTGCCGATTTTCCTGTTTGCGCCCTTGAGGGTGAGGCCGTAAGGACCTCTGCTGCCGGCTGCCCAGGGCGCCTCGATGCATATCTGACAGAGTTTGTCCCGAGGTGGGGAGGTGTGGGGGACGCCTTCCTGAAGCAAGGCCTGATCTAAAGCTGCGTGCCAAGTGCGTTTTAGCGTTCGGCTCTGCGCGCCAGGGACTGATAGTATACCGATGTTTGGGCGGGGAAGGGTTGAGGGTTCCATCTGTGTCTGCGCTCGAGGGATGCAGGAGGTGGTCGCTGCAGTCATCCCAGTAAGCGTGTGGGGTGTTCGGGATTGGCCCAGGCGCTTGTCGCCATCGGGATCAGAAAGTGGCCCAACACATGTCCAGTGCCCTTAGCTGGGTGTTTATAGGGTGAAGGATTTGGGGCCCGTCTATGGAGTCTGAACAGCGCTAACCTGCGAGATCTTCGTTTGCGGAACAACGTTTTCCGTGTCATCCCTGTCGACAAGGACCGATCGAGTACAAAGTCCTTGAACCTAGAACGTCACATGTGGAGTGGTAGGATGGAGCCACTCGGGTGTCACTGACGCGTAAGCCAATCGCCAAACCGATAAGAAGGGAAAAAATTTTCGCCCGACGGCCCACCCTTCCAACGGTCCGGCGCGGTGGCCCCGTGTCGCCGGGCGGGGACTTTCAGGAAAGACCATCCAGCCCCCAACACCCTTAGACACTGCAACAGAACCGTTATCGTCAACTGGATCAGTGGGGAGTCCCCGTCCTCCTGCGTAGATCCACCCTCCCGTGGTACTTGACATAAGAGGACGCCACATGTTGGTGGAGCCTGATGGGATATACTCAGTAGTGCTTTCGCGCCGCAGCCGAGTCCTTACGCTCTGCTGTGGGATTGAGACCCTACTTGCAGCCTAGCCCCTCCGCTGACCACCGCGAGGAGGTGTCTCCCGAAGGCCAGCGCTACCATCGGCACCGCTGCCAGTTTGAGCAAACAGCAACTGCAAGGGTCTCCGCAAGCTCGCGCTGACACGATTTTTACCGCGCTGACTCAAGGGCCCCAGTTGGCCAGGTTTGAGCATTTCATGTCCAGTCAGGTGTAAATGTAACCAAATGGTTCTCACAAGGAATATGTTTTGTACACCGTAAATCGTGGTGATTTGAAAGAAAACTTAGGTCCAAGGGAGAGGTATGCTCAACTCCACGACAAGTTCTTATCAGCCTTGGCTCATAGCCCTTTGGAAAAGGTTCCAACTCAACATGGCAACTGGGGAAAACATGTTTCACTAGAAGAAGTATTCACGCAAAACTTAATCCAAAGTTGGTTCCTGTATTCAGCACCTGCAACACCAAATGATCTTGTCCACACGACAATATCTTCACTCCTTTGGTGTGCTCGAGGTCCAGTTCCTCTGCATCACAAAGCACACACACACATGCAAGAAGGGAGACATGAAGTTCCACTGTGCGGTCCAGCAAAGTATCTGGATCCGTATCCACATCCCAATGGAGTGAGAATTCGCTTCCATCCTTGCAAAATCTGCAGCAGGCACTCTTTTGCAGGCAACATGACTTGCCTCGAAGCTATGATCCTGGTGATGATGGAAATGCCTTCCAACAAAAGCCAGATGAGGGATCAACACTGGGGGGACAAGGGAATGTGGTGATGCATGGAGTGCAGCTACTGCTCCAGAAAGAAGCCTCTCCTCTTCCATACTTCTCCAGACAGCTCTGACCTTCTACTGTACTGTATATTTTTCCACAGGAGGCTACTTGACTGCAAACTTTGAGTTGCAGCTCCTAATGGAAACCCACAAAACACCTAGCACCACACCACCACACCACCACACCACAAGGGTAGCTGCCACCAGCTCCATGAAAAACCTGAAGTAACTATTAGATGAGCTAGATCAGTCATCAAGTAACTATCGGATATGCTAGCGCAGTGATGAAGCAACTATTGGATGCGGATGAGCTAGCTGAGGTGATGAGGCAATACAATTGGGAGCCGGTAGGTGATAGTCAAAACTTGGTTCTTCGCTAAACGTCGGACAGCACATTTACATGTAAAAATTGCAGAAAATTATACTGTCAGAATACAAGCTGCGCCTGACGTTTGGAGGATGACCTTCGGCCTCCCCGACTTCGAAGAGCCCTGCAGCTGGCACTCACTCGCTTGACCAGCAACACTAGCTCTGGGTCCAAGGCGAAAAGGTTGAGGTAACGACCACACATGAACCTCGAATTTTGGGGCACACCGTGCGGCACACCCCGAAGCCCATGAAAAGGCTATGATTCATCCTAGAGCGTCAACAAACGCGCGCGCTTGACTATGAGCACAGCAGATTGTTTCCAAATTTGGAAAGGTGCACAAGTCAGTTGAGTCGAAGCTCGGGAAACTAGGAAGACAACAATTTTTACACTGTGGCCTCTTTGCTCCAAATTGGAAGATCTGGGAAAGGACAAAAACACGATGCAAGACACAAGCCCCAGCATAGTGAAAAAACTGGGGAAAATACAGAGAGACAGCCATGTGCCCTTTGCCCAGCAAAAGCCATTGCCATGTGGTATTGCCACCGACCCCCCCTGCTCAACTGCACAAGCCCTGAGTAGCTCGAGTCGTTGAAGTTCTGGCTAAAAGTTTAAAGCAGCATTCACAGCAAACTTCCTCAGCCAAATTGGATGGAATTTCACTGACAACTTTTGATCTGAGCCAGGCACAAGCTGTGTCACGACCCATAAAGCCTGCAAACGAGAGTCAGTAGGGATCCCAAGAGGCATGCAAACAAAACACAGGATAGATAGATGTTCTTGGCCTTCATGACAAACCTAATGACTGCGAACTCACCTTTGTTCGCTTGATCTTGAAACGAGAGACAAGCAGTGTGCTTTTCAAGGCACAAAGGCTCCAGCCGCGCCAAAAGCTAGAAAAACACATCTAAACACGTTGGAAAAGTCTGAGCCGATAGGTCCAACATCACACTGCCACTCAACATTCAACCAAGAGATCAAATCTGTCAGCGCACAATTTGCTATTTAATTGGTTGAACATTGCACAAACCGAACAATATTCACAACCAAGCAATACCTCCTTGATCATGACTTGTGCCACCGCGACAGCCTTGACATCAGACTCCAAGGACTTCACAAATCAACAACTGAAAACATGGCAACGTTACACAAGATACCTTTCAAGAAAGGCAAAGGTACCAGAAAAATGTTAACTGCTGCATCATGTTTCCTCTCGACAAAGGCCCGCGCATCAGATGTCCCAGTCATCCGTACAATACAAGGGTCACGCCCCTATCACAGCAAGCATCAGTGTACTCAATGGTTGTCAAACAAAGCAATTGTCTTTCCGCCAACGTTGGAATGATGAAACCCGTGTATGTGTATACATGCACATATCATACTAGCCTCGACCACATATCATCAAACCATCTGCACAGTCAGATGGACGACTGCACTAATTGCGCGCCCGACGTTTCAGCGCGCTACATACCCCCTTTGCACACCCCAGGGTCAGCCGATGCCACAGATCTGGATATTGAACCAACGTGTTGACATCCATGTTCTTTAGCATTCATTGCCAGTCCCCTTTCCAAGGTTCGGTGCCGGTGAAAAAAATTTGTTTTGCATCATCAGAGACAGGTGTGCTCTCAACCATGGGGTACTGCACATCAAACTCATCATCAAGTTCATCAGCTAAACCATCATCATTGTCATCATCATCATCATCATCATTCTTTCCTTACGCTCTTCCGCTGCTGAAATTGTCGCCCACTGGACACGTAATCACCCAGCACCACCACAAAAAACCCTTCAGTAGAAAAGTGCGCTGCCTTGTCTGGGATTTGGTGCCCTCAGAATCTGTCAAGATCAAGAAGAGCTGTGGTGGCACGTCATGGTGCTCTGTGAGGAAGGCAAGGTGAGAGGTGTGAGTCAAGAAAGAGTGATCTCTTGCTACCTGTCTCATCATGGTTACCATTGTCTTGGAAAAAAGCGGAATGACACGTCTAATCCATAGATTCCAATGAAAAGTACACATGATTGCCATAGAGCCACCTTCTGAGCCGGATGCATGGTGTTCTTGGGGAACCAACGGTGCATTTGCTTGTATCGAGTCTTGCAAGCATGGAGTCGAACCTTCATAGTGTCTCGCTGAATTCCCAAGTATTCGTGTTTCTCTTTGATTGGTATTTCGTGACAGGTGCCCTTTTCCGATGGAATGCATAGAACTTGATGATCCAGCTTCCTTTTCACGAAGTGCTTCCGCGCTTGTTGATGCTGTGAGCCTCCCCAGCGCAGAACGCAGCCGATTTTTTTGATGCTCAATGTTCACGGTCAGTCCCAGCTGTTCCAGAACTGAAATAAGCTTCCCAAAACAAAACGGTCCGCGTTCATGATAATCATGAAAAAGGAAGCAGGCATGGCCATCATCTGCATAGAAGGCGCAGCATTGCCGCATCCAAGGTGTGGAGGCTTCTTCGGCAACCCTGTTGAAAACCAGAGTAATGAAACTGGCCCAGAAGTATGGTGTTCCTCTACGGCCTTGCCTCACGCCCCTGAATGTAGCTTGCTCAACTGCTAAACCTTTCCATTGGATCACATAGGAAGTCTCCGTACGCCATCTCAGTAAAAGAGAGCGAGGATCGCTCCTGCGAGCGGTGCGGAGTATAACTTCGTGCAGCGCAAGACATCGCAACTGACAAGCGCAAGACATTGGGAAAGCTGAGCTGACACCCTGTCATACTCTATCACGAAAGATCAGGGGGGAGGCCCAAAAGGTGAAAGGCGTCTCGAAGATGCTCCCTGGGCATGGCGTCAAACGCGCCAGTCAAGCCCCAAAAAAAAGGAGCTCTTTTGATCCCCGGAGCTTTCACTTGGCTGGCGTCATGCCTCCATGGGTGATGAAGAGCTTGAACTGCCTTGACATGTGGTTGGACCCGAGCGATTGCGTCGAAGGCCCCCGGTCCCGGGAGGTATGCAAATTGAGGATGCCAGGTCAGTGAAGGGCTTTAGGTTCACTGGAGATTTTGTTGGGCTTGGGGAATAGAACTACCCAGCCTTTGCGCCATTCATGTGGAATGTCCTGAGGCCATCCAGTGAGCAAGCGCCTTCCAAACAAAGCTTCAGGTCCTCAGCCCCAAAAACAAATGTACTGGCAGGGAGAAGTGAACATCCTCCAGGTCATGCCCAGCATACACCTCAGCCATATGGTCCTGAGTCCACTGAAGTTCTTCATCAGGAGTACAAAAGTTGTCCCTCCTGTCGTCGAAGGTGTGGTTGAGGAGGTCGATGTTTGGGAGTAAGAGAGTTGACCACCTTGATGTATTTGTGAGAGTCGTTGTTGGACCAGCGCCGTCGAGCTGAGTCAATGGTATCCTGAAGCTTTTGCCGTTTAGCCTGTCAAGCAGCCTGTGAGGCAAGGTGTTTCCACCGCTGGAGTTTGGTAGCGCGAACCCAGCTGCCAAAAAATGTGCCACTGAAGGAAGGTGAAGGCTTGGCAAGGTAGCCACCCAGGACCAATATGTACTTCGTGTCAAGCTGGCGTTGAGGTCACCCGCCAGGATGACCGCATTCCGTTGTGGAAGTCCGGTCCAAAAGATCAGCTCTCTTGGGGAGGCATTGAGGATCCGACCCATTCCGCGTGTACTGGTAAGCGTTGATCAGGTCAATGGGTGGGGGAAACCAGGTAAAGTCTCCCAAGAGATCCGGTCTTGTTGACAGAAGCTTCTTCGGACAATGGTCATCAGTCCACCGGAGCGCCCTTGCGAGCCACTGTGAATGTAGGCAAAGGTGGGATCGACCCAGTCTCCACTAAAGCCCCACCTGGTGTCTTGGAGGAAGAGGATGTCAAGTTGTTGAGAATGCATCCATTGACGGAATGTCAAATTTGTAGGTGCTCAAGGAACCTATGTCGCCGATTTCGTCGTACTTTGGCAGGAGGAAAATTCTTCCCTGAGTTCATGGATGTGGCTCCTTCCTCACGATTGCAGGAGAGTGGAGTCACTCCCAGCATGTCTGCTGTGCCATGTGCGCCCATAAAGTTGGGCCCTCCCGAGAGCACGGATGTAGGATTTCTTCTTGGGAAGAAGCTGGCAATGATACAGACGTAGTTTTGTTGGGATCCAAGGCCACTAGGCTTAGCCGTGGAAGTTGCCTGATGGGCTGAAGCTGTGGGGGCTTCACTGGGTCTCGTGGCAGATCCAGAACCCTCGGGCCTCCAGGGTGGAGCATTTGAATTGAGCTTGCTCATGAAGTCCACAATGTAGACCAAAGCAAGGCCGGTGAGGCAAAGTGGTAGCAATCTCCGTCCAGCCCTGGCCGGCAACTTGGGGCCCCGGTTAGCTCACGTCCCAGCTGCAGAGACCTGGGAGGTCGTTCTTGATGTCCAGAATCTATGTCTTGTGAAGGAAGAGGAGTTCTGGTAGTTCTGGATGTCCAGAAGGTGTGTCAGGAGGAGCACAGTGGCGCCCGAAAAGTTCAGCAAACAGTCCACGACCTTTCCAACCCCCTGGTCCTGGTTGAAGGGATGCTCACCTTGTCGTCCTGCGGATTGTTAGATGAAGGACCTGTAGTGCAAGGCCACGTGGACCAGTGTCAGCAAAAAAGTCCAGGTCGACCATGGACAAGGGGGAGCCCACACTGGCCCCCCCACCTAAGGGAGGTGGAAGGACCTGAGAGCTAATGGCCCTTATCATCATCATCATCGTAATCGTCATCGTCATTACTGTCGTCGTCGTTGTCACCACTGCCGTCGTCGTCGTTGTCAGTCGTCACCGTCGTCATCGTCCCCCGACGCGTGGCACACTGCTCTCTTTTCCGGTGGCGAACCTTGTCCAAATCAATCTTGGCACCACTCTTCTCCTGAGCTTTGCAAAGCTTTGCAGCCGGTCTTTTGGCTGAAATTTGCTGAAATTCGAACCTGGATCTCATTGATTTGGCGACCACCAGGTCCAATGAGGCGGCCAGTGGCGCTGGGAGGGATCTGCAGAACGCGGACGAGAAATGATGAAATCAAGTGTTTCTTGTGTAAACACGCAACCCCAGCCACCTTCCCAGCCCAGCCTCCATGGTAGCAGCGGCTTCAGCCAGCTGAGTGCGATCCCTGCCTGCAGACACAAATAGGGTACAATATTATATATACTAATACAGATACATCAATGGAGTCGAATGGAGTCATGGACCTTCCAGCACTTCTGTCACAAGCGTCTTGGCCAGCTGGACACTCTCTGCAAATCCTCCAAAGCGTACCTGTCATATGTAATTCAAAAACGTGACACTTGCCCTTACAACTTCCAGGAGGACCAGACAGCGATCTGGCTGGCGGTCAATGTCAATCTTGGCGCCACTGCGTTCTTGGAGCTCCTAGTCAACATTTGCATCTGGCTCGAAACCCTTCCAACCAGGGTCCATTGCATGGTGTGGCATTGGTCCTGAATCCGGGCACCCCCAGCACCAATGATACGTCCGACCGCACTCCGAGGGATTTCGAGGTAATCACCATTTCCTCGCCAACTTGGCACAACTCTGCTAACGCAGCCTCAACCTGACTTGACAAAGCCTCGCCTGTGTCTGGTGGTGGTGACATGATGGCTTGGATCATCGCTTTTGCCATGTCAACCTAAAAGTTGGATGTTTGCAGTCTTTGCAAGCGTTCTTTCACTCACCCCTATTCTTGCTTCCAGGCATTGTACACATGACACCGGCCTGGGTTTGGGTACCCACAAAGCGCACTCGACAGCCCGTTGGAGACTTGTCTACGTCAACCTCTGCAATCTCTTGGGCCATTGTGCTCTTCGCTCTCAATCGCCTGCCTGCGCCCCACTCTTCTGTCGAATCTCAGCAATCTGCTGTCCCTTGGTTCCAATGACCTGCACGCAGCTTATAACTTTCCACCCCCGCCAAGCTGTGTCATCTCGCCTTTCCAGTTGCATGTCTTGGAAGTTCAATGTGTTCTTCAACGGCAGGCCTCAGCTACGTCACTCCCGCATACTGTGCTGATGGACCATGCCACAGCGGTTGCTCAGGTTCACACGTGTTTGAATCTGTTCCTCCAGATGCCCTGGCGGAGACTGCCTGCAGCTGCCGGTGCAAAGTCATCAACTGAAAAATGCAAGTGTCCTCCATACTCAGGGTCATGCAGCGGCAGCTGCAGCGGCGGCAGCTGCAGCAGCTGGCCGCACACGTGGCTGAGGGACTTTGTACCAAGCACACACACACACTCACTCACACACCCTTGCCGAACAACTCGAGGCTGAGCCCGTTTTGGCAGGCGACTTAAATTTCAGCTTGAAACCAAACAGCACGGATGCCTGTATTCTCCAGCATTGAAATCACCCCACTTGGCCCGTGCTGCTGCCCCCATGATGAGTGGGACGATCCCAACCACTCAAATCAAAAATAGAAGAAAAGCCACTGAATATACAATGAGTGTTCAATTTGTTTGTGCCTAACGCATGGTGGACAACTCTTTTGGAAAGATTTGCCTGTGTTCATAAAGATCAAAACACAGGTGGAACACGGCTTGCCGGAACTGCAAGAGTGAGGCCATGCAGCGCTGTTAAGACAGATTAAGCGAGGTTAATGCCTCCCGCGTGCAGCGGGTGCCTGTCTGTGTTGTGCGCGACATAGCACTTGCTATAGCGTTTGTGGCATCGCAAGATTGTTGGTTCCTCCTTCTCCTCATGGGTCACCTTTGAGTGCCTTGTGCCTTGTGCTCCTTGTTGCATAATATGTCCGGTGTCACGTGTCGCGTCATTGTTTGGCACTCGTGTCTTACAGGGTTGAAGGAAATGAAAGGCAGCACCATGTTGGACGTGGATACTTTTGATGAACATCCTACCCATCCTACTCCAACCCAACACAACTCACTCAGCTACAGTGTAAAACGCAGACTCATCACCCACGCCCCTTGGACAGCCCACTCAGCATATTTAATTTTCAAAAAGATTGTGAATGATCGTTTTTCTAAAAGACTTTGCCTACATTCACACCTCCAGAATCTTCATCACCCAATTGCCCAGTTGCGCGTTGACGCCAACAAAGCACCTCCCAAGCACCCTTGCTACCTAATTCCAGGATTCGTGGCAGCCTGGGATGCAACTCCTTTGGACTTCGTTCACACTTGGCTCCGCCAGCTCCGAGCTTTCGTAATCCCGCCACTCAACAAAATCGACAATCAATGTCAATCTACCTCACACAAAAAACTAGCAACTGAAGCAAAGAAGAGAAAACACCCGAACGGCTCAAGCGTAGAAAGGTAGAGAGAACAATGAAGAACCTGGGCAATAAAAACACACGGTGAAAACAAGATTGAACGAGAATGACCACCTTCTCGTCCAATCTCTCGAGCGTCTCCTGGCCAGGGCAAAAAATCATATCACGCACAAGACCACAGCTCGTATCTCTCACTTAACGCACGGCTCATTGTACATGACCAAACTTATTCATGACTGAGAACTTTCAGTTCCTGACTAGTTTACCTTGCTGGTAGAAATGGCTGGCGCCTAGTCCACCTGTTTGGCGAAGAATTTCATTACGATCACACACTACACACACTTAGGATTTTTCGTTCTGAACTGAATGCCACTCGCCACACGCCAACCTAGGTAAACATATTCCTGAGAAAGTCAAGTAAGGAGGTCTGATCATCTCTAGGCATTAGGAGGCCAGAGGTCCAAGTCCACGAGGTAGCGAAACAACGACAGGTCGAAATGACGGCGGCCTCTCATGTCTGCGGAACTCATTAGCACTTTACTAGGGAGCAGAGTCATGGCAATGTCAACGGTTCAAAGAGAGCAGGTACGTGGAGTTGATCAGACTCCATATCAGTCGTGGCATAGCCCTCTTCGTTGGGCAACCAGATATGCTCACGAGGTTGCCAAAAACAAACTTGAGAAGGGAGGGAGGGGACGAAAGCCACCCCCCCCCTTCCAATTGATTTCCCAATACCGACCCCCCCCCCCGCGTATGTATCCGCTGTGTCCACTGGACTTGCTTCGTGTGGCCACCGTCTCCTTCTACTTCCTGCTTTCTGGCTCTAGGTTCATCGCGTTTTCACTCGCTTCCGGAGAGGGTTGAGCGCCCTAGCGCTTCTGCTGAGGAAACTGACAAACAGGAGGCCAGCGATGTGGACGCAAGGTGGACTTGGATTTGGTATGACTTGAATAGGCCTAAGGTGCTACATGGACTGTGCTAACTGAGGACTCCCTGCATCCATAAGTGTCATCAAGTGGTCTACTAGCAACAATTGTTCGACGTTCTTTGCGCATGTGGCGATGAGCTACGTTAGGACATTGCGCACCTGCTTTTGCATGGTCTTCCTGCGCAGCGGTCAAGCAGTTTCTTGCCAAGGCTTGGCTTGGTGCAGCGCCGAGCAAGCAGACTGATGGCACCGCACTTTGCAGAAACTCTTAGGGAGCTTGGGCTTTTGGGCGGCGGTCTAGGGGAGAGGTGGATGCCCAGGCGTGGGTTCTCAGCTCACGGATTACTTTGACAGTCAGCAAATTCGCTGGCGAAGGTCTTTGAGCTTGGGCGGGCACATTTTTGGTGTTCCGCTGCTCTGTTTTACTGCATGTGTGCGCCGACCAGGAACAACATGGAACATTGGAAGACGCAAAGCGACCAAAAGCAAAAGACGAGCTACAGAAGAAGGCCCTTGTTCTGCTCGCGACCTACTTAAACAAAGGTTCCAAGGACCCTGGATGAGTGCACCTTGACTCAAATTAAAAATACCATTGGATTGGCCAGTACAAATGGATTATGCTTCATGATGAACGAACATCTGGGTCGAGGCATGGCATTGCCGCTCTGTCCCAGTGTCCTTGACTTCCCTCAGCAGCCTATGGGTGCATGAGTTTGACAAGGCTGCAACCCTCTTTTTCGTTCTTTTCCCCTTCTTCCTGTCTCTTCCTTCTTCTTGCCTATTCCTGCAGCCTCCTCTAAAGCTACATGTACTAAAAAGATACGAATACACAGCAAACACTCACAACGTGTCAATTCCAGTACCGAACCTTCCTGCATCTCGCATGACCCTCCTTCTTCCTTCGTTCTTTTACCTTTCTTCTTCTTGCTTGTTCCTTCCTTATCTTTCCTTCTTCTTCCTTCACCCACGCCATTGCATCCTTGACATCATGGCAGCCCCCGTCTGATTGCATGACTTGCATCCACAGCCTCCTCAAAACCTACAGTTTTGCTCAACTCACGTCCACCCACTTTTTGCCACCCAATAAATTTTGATTTTTGACATTCCAAAACTACCCATTTTGCAACGCCCTTCCCCCCAGACCCCCAAATACTCACTTCGTTCACTATTCAAACCTTCAGCCTAGCCTACGGCAACGAACATCTTGGTCAAGGCGTGGCATTACCGCTCTGTCCCAGTGTCCTAGACTTCGCTCAGCAGCGACCGGCTTGCGCTATGGATGGATGAGTTTGACGATGATGAACTCGGCCAGTTCAAGGTTACGCGCCCACCCAAAACAATCACGACGTGTCCATTCTAGTGCCCGGCTTTCCTGCATTTTTGACTGGCAGTGAATTGCGCGCCGACCAGGAACAGCATGGAACATTGGAAGACGCAAAGCAACCAAAAGTAGCCAAAAGCAAGTTAGAAGGAGCCCCTTCTTTTGCTCTCGGCCTACTTGAGTACAAGCCTCCTTGACTCTATTTAGAAGCGCCGTTGGCCAGTACAAATGGTATTGCGCTTCATGATGAACGAACATCTTGGTTGAGGCATGGCACAACCACTCTGTCCCAGTGTCCTTGACTTCGCTCGGCGCCGACCAGCTTGCACTATGGATGGCTGCACCCCCGATGAACTCCTTGCCCAAGGGGCCAGTTCAAGGTTACGTGTCCGCCCAAAGCGAACACGACGTGTCATTCCAGTACCCGGCTTTCCTGCATTTTTGACTGTCAGTGAGTTCGCGCGCGAAGGTCTTTGGGCGAGCGCATTTTTGATGTTCCGCTGCTCTGTTTTACTGCGCGCGTGCACCGACCAGGAACAGCATGGAACATTGGAAGACGCAAAGCATTCAAAAGCAAAAGACGAGCTACAGAAGAAGGCCCTTGTAACATTGGCAAGCGCAAAGCAATCAAAAGCAAAAGATGAGCGACCAGAAGCAAGTTAGAAGAAGCCCCTTCTTTTGCTCTCGGCCTACTATATGCTTCACGATGAACGAACATCTTGGTCGAGGCACGGCGTTACCGCTCTGTCCCAGTGTCCTTGACTTCGCTCAGCAGCGACCGGCTTGCACTATGAATGCATGAGTTTGACGAGGCTGCGCCCCTGATGAAATCGTTGGCCAAACGGCCAGTGGACCCTTCATCCTGCTTCTTTCATTCTTTTGCGTTCTTTTCCCCTTCTTCCTGTCTTTTCCTTCTTCTTGCCTATTCCTGCAGCCTCCGCTAAAGCTACATGTAGTAAAAAGATACGAAAAAGCAGCAAACACTCACGACGTGTCAATTCCAGTACTGAACTTTCCTGCATCTTGCATGACCCTTCTTCGTTTCCTTCTTTGTCGTTCTTTTCTCCTTCTCCCTGTCCCTTCCTTCTTCTTGCCTATTCCTGCTGCCTGTCGAGGGTGCCTGGGCGTAGAAGAGTGACACGTAGCTCTGGGTTCACAGAGAAGCGCCACGGTGTAGAGGTCAGGAAGTGGGGGCAATGGCGCGCTTGCAGCGCTGAATATAGCGGAAATGAAGCTGCGAGGATCCCTCCCAAACAGAGTCTTTGCCGTGCTGTGTGAGGCAGCGACCCCCCAATGTAGGACGCCGGATCGCACTCTGCGCGTCGCAGCAGTGAACATAGCGCAAATACGAAAGGTAGGATCCCCCCAAAGACGTTTTTGCGGTGGACCCCCGCTAAATGTAATAAAAAGATACGAATAAGCAGCAAACACTCACAACGTGTCAATTCCACTACCGAACTTTCCTGCACCTTACATGACCCTTCTTCTACCTTCTTTCCCTCTTCCTCGTTCTCTTACCTTTCTTCTTATTATTACTTTTGTTCTTCTTCTTGCTGGTTCCTTCCTTATCTTTCCTTCTTCTTCCCCCATGCCAGTGCATACTTTACATCACGATAGCCCTTCTTCACCCATGCCATTGCGTCCTTTACATCGTGACAGGCCCCCTCTGATTGCACCACTTGCATCCGCCGTCTCCTCAAAGCTTACAGTTTTCCTGAATTTTTGTCCACCCACTTTTGGCCGGTTCTTCCACAAAAAAAAAGAAATTTGACATTCCAAAACTACCAATTGCGCAACGCCCCTCCCCCAGACCCCCAAATACTCACTTCGTTCGCTATTCAGATCTTCAGCCTGGCTGTCGTAATTCAAAAGAATCCCTGTGACTCCAAGGGTTACACACTGGGAAATGAGTTCGTTAGGGTGATGACAAAGCCAAGGGCCTCCTAAGTGTGTGTCCTTGAAAATTCGAAAAACCCAGCAAAGTCGGCAAACCATCGATCAACGCATTAGCCCTTTACGGGAAATTAGAAATGCAGGTACACAAGAAGGCGCCCCTTCTCGCTTCACCAGTTGCGAGTCTGTCTTCGTTGGTCCGGGGCCAACTCACAACTGCCTGGACCCCCTGCTCTCGAAAGTCGATAATAGTCAAGGAAGCTCGTCAACCGCATGTAAGAGCGGGCTACACACGCACAACAGTGACATCTCTGACTGCCCGAAATTCGAACCGGTTTGCGTCGAATAAGCTCATAGCCGATGGGTCTGATTAGCATCCTTAGTTTGAAAAACCTCAGAACTGAGTGCCTTAGTTCGATCGACATGACATCCAATTGCCAGTGTGTGTGTGTGTCATGACGTTGTGGCATCTTGACTGAAAACCGGTGCGTGTCATAAAGTAACGAAACAGCAAAACTACAAAAGCGTCAAAGCTGGAGGCCCCCGCTCTTAGGTTGGAGGCCGTCGAAGGCAATTGAAGGAATTCCTTTTCAACTAAGCTCCGGACCATGGTGGGGTTCTCCCAAGCAGTGCCGGTGCGGGCACAGGTGTGGGGTCAGGTTGTTCACATGTGGCGCCGGTTCGCCAAATGGCACGCCAAAGGTGTCCATGGAGACTACGTCCATCCAGAGGGCGGCGGTGAGCCACCGCACCGACTGTTAGGCGCCTCCCCCTCATCACCACCAGACATTGTCACCTCCAAGAGACCTGCTTCTTCTGCGCTTGGAGAGACCCTGCACTTGACTCAATTGCGCAGCTATCACTACTCACATCCATCAATCTAAGAAGCTGGATCTTCGTGACAGGGGTTCTCCCAAACAGTGCCGGCGCCGGCACAGGTGTGTGTGTGTGTGTGTGTATGTGTGTGTGTGTTTTTATGAGCCACGGCACCGACTGTTAGGTATGTTTTCACGGCAGCTCGGATGGGTCTTCGTTGGCACATGCCATCCAAATGTACATGGGCTCGCATTCTTCCCAGCTGAAAGGGCGGGAATCATCATCCACGAGTCGACGAGAGCTTGACGATGATTTTCAACGAGGTGAAGAAGGCGATCCCAAGGCTGAAAAGTGTGGTTGGGGATGTCCATCCAAAGGTTGTGAGTGCCGGTGGGGATGATGAGGATGATGTGACGCCAGAAAGGTGTGGTCCATAAATGTTGCCGAGGTCCAGGGCTGAGGCGGGTCTCTGCAAGGCCACCCATCAGGTAGGAAATGAGGCCGGACTCCTGAAGGTAGGTCACGAGCTGAAGTGCCCCCTGATCTGGTAATTGAAGAAGAAGTCGTAATAGGTGGGGAAGAGCGATGTGGCGGAAAGAGGTGGGCGATCCGCAAAGGCTCTGCGACCTTGTAGTTCATCTTCGAGTTGTTCTGAACTGTGATGCAGGATATGGAGTAGACCCAGGGCGGTGAGGAGTTCGTGTGTATAGTGGGCGGCAGTGTGATTGACACGTAGGGCAAGGAGGAGAGTGTTGTCCAGACCCTGAAGTTGAGCGCGAAGATGTGGATGGTTGAACCGATCAAGGAGTGGGGTGGAACAAATCGCAAGAGGTTGGTGAAGAAGAGAGTGAATATGGGCCAAAGAAACGTGTACATGAAGAAGTTCACGATGTAGAACTGCCTGTGCCACCATGGGGATGCCCTCCGTCGGAGCCAAGCCACAAGGAGGATGGGTGAGACCACGTGGATGGGACCGGGTAGGGGAGGGTGGTCGACTCATAGCGTAAGGGTGAGGGCAATACAAAGGTGAGATCGGAAATCCAGAGCCAAGTGTGAATCAACGCAAGAGTTGCGATGTAAATAATACAAAGTAAACAAGTGACAGAAGAAATTGAGTGTTTTCTACTGGCAGGGCCCTACGCTTGTCTCTCTGCCAGGTGGTGGGTTGATGGATGGTAGGGGATTGTTTTCATCAGCATCATAGTCGACTTCCTCGATGTGCGTGTGAGGCATCGTATCCGGTGAACGAGAGGCGCGACCAAGATCATGTCGTCGATGGAGGGCGATTGGATTCCGGAGAAGAACCAGAGCTCGCCATGAGGCAGGTAGTCGCCCAAAAACGTTACTCTCAAAAGGATTAACAACTAAGAAAAGGAAGATAAGATCTGGTCGTTCGAGGGCGAGAGCGAGATCTCGAGCGTATGTGAAGACGAGGTCGTGGTACATGGCGAGAGGGCGGAGGACTAGGAGAGATAGGCATCCGGGCAGTGGTGTTGTGGGTCCTGGTAGTTCGCGATGAAGTCGTAGTAGAGTGAGGTGTACCAGTTTGTGTAGAGAGGGGTGCCCGATCGCCAAAGTCGGTGCGGCCTTCAAGTTCGTCTTCAAGTTGTTCCGGGCTCTGTTGAATAATATGAAGGAGGCCCAGGGCGGTAAGGAGCTCATGGGTGTAGTGTACAGCGGTGTGGTTGAGGCGAAGAGCGAGGAGGAGCGTATTGTCCAAGCCTTCAAGGTGAGCTCGAAGTTGTGGGTGTGTCACCCGAGACATGAACGGAATAGTGCGAATGCTGAGTGGGATGTGGAGTAATGCATGGACCTGGGCCAGAAGGACATGTACAAGTAGGTTCACGATGTAGCATAGCCTGAGCACGAGGGGGAAGACCTGGAATCGGTGCAAAACGACAAAGTGGTGTAGATGTCGAAGCCATGGCAGGAAAGGCAATAAAGGCAATAAGAAACACGGGAGCGAAACGAGCAGTCGCTAGCGAGCCGAAGGTGCAATAGGAAAAGAGAAATGAGTAACGTCAATGAGATACCAGAAGGACAAAAGGAAAATGGGTGATCAATCATGAAGCAGAAAGCAGTGGAAAAGGAATGCTTTTCTCTGCAAAAACTAAGTGGTTCGGTGGGTGAGAAATCGGCTAAAGTCTGAATCTTCGCGGAGGAGATCGTGACCAGGAGGGCGAATGAGAACTTGGCATCCTCGTCAAGGTTGAAGGTGGAGCCGAAGGAGTCAGAGAAGGAGGAGGGGCTTGAGGAGGAGAGGGATCCGTGGTCGTAGTCATCGTCGTCGTCACGGGTGGAGAAGGAGGAGAGGGAAAGAGGATAAGCGAGTGTCTGGGTGAAGAAAAGGATGGAGGAGAGGAAACCGATTGGCCAATAGGATGTGGAAATGCTAAAGTGGAGCATAGTGCATCGGCGTAGACCAATGTAGTACAGGTAGATCGTCGAATCTGTGGCGAGGGCAGGTGATCGAGTCCACAATGGAGGGAGTGACGGAATCCAGAGGTCCACGTAAGATCAGAAGAATCAAGTGTAAAGAAGAGTGTATGTGAAGGAGTTCACTATGAAGTACCTCATGAGCAGCAGCAGGTAGGCCAGCGATGGAGGCCAATCCCGTAGGTCTGGTCGCGGTCGTCGTGGGTGGCATCGACATGGCGGCGAAAAGGAGTAAGGAGTGCGAACTCGAAGGGGTGAGGTATAGGCGTGAGAACGCTGAGAGCCACACGAAATAAATGTGTAGAGTTGTAAGGAAGTGTCTCTAGGCACAGGAGCATGTTAGAAACATAAAAGGGAAGGACATTTTCTCTCCCGTGATTGGAAGAGTGAGCGACAGAGTTATCTAGAGATTTCTGGAGTTCAAACGAGGGTGAGACCGAGAGCGAGACGGTGCTGTACTGGATCGATTAATCACAGGTCGATGCGGAGTAAGAATGGTAGGGGTCCTCGGTGGCGGAATCGGTGATGCCGCCGGATTGGAACTGGTAGATGTCATACTTCGAGTCGTAGTCGGGCCCAAAGGAGAAGCAGGAAAAGATGGAAGGCGGGGGTCAGGGAAGGTCGAGCATCCACGTAGTTCAGCATCAACTTGAGTAGTGTCGCAATTCAAGGCATGCATCATCCCAAAGGTGGTGAGGAGTTCCTGGATATAGTGCACACCATTGTGGATAGCCTGGGTCGCCTGTCGAATCGCAGAGTCCAGACCTCGAATTTGTAGCTGAATATGTGGTGAGGTGATGTGGTCCATAAGCGAAGGGTTGAGAATAGCGAAGCGGGTGCGTAGGAGGGAAATGGCGAGAATCAATAAACCATGTAGATGAAGAATCTCTCGATGTAGAATAGTCTTGCCGTCCACAGGGTGGAGACCAGTCGGAGAAGGGAACATGGCAAGAGGAGGAGGATCAACTGAAAAACTAAGGCTCCAACAGGTTCCAGTGAACCTAAAATTGGCTTTGACCGCTCTGGTCACCTTGTGCCTTGCCGAAATGGCTGGCTGCTTTGACCGCTGCGGTCACGTAAAGGCATGAGCCAGCTTGGTATTCCAAAGATGAGACAAAGATCATCGTACGTACGGCCTAGGCCACCTACGCTCGCTGCGAGCTGCTCTGTATCCGGGCAGTGGATACGTTCGACGTACACCCGTTCGACGGGTCCACGGGAGGCACTCTGCGGGCTCATCCCGGGTTGGCACGAAGCCAAACACACTCATGGATATGCGTACTGACTTGATTGCGGTGCCACACGCCGGCCTAAGAGACCCAAGTCCTGAAAAACCAGGTGAAGGGGACCAGAGTTCCTGTAGTTAAAGGCCACGAACCGACGAGGCGACAGGTTGACGGCGTTCCGTGCATGTCTGCAGCTATTGAGGTCCTGGGCTTAGCCTCATGCCATTCAGTACAAGGAAAAAGCAGGTACGTGAGTCAGGCGTCCCTGACTCATATCACAGGAAATCCATGGTGTCTTCGTTGGATGCCGACCATGGAAATCCCCGGCATCCCCCTGCTGAAAATTCAAAGCGAAAATAAAGCAAAACAATCCGAAAGGATCCCTGTGATTCCAAGGGTTACACACACACACACACACGCAAGTGCAAATTGCGTCACGGCCAGTCAGTTTGGGGAGTGCTGTACAGGATGGTACGATGTGAGTGTCACAAGAATGACTTTTTCATGCCATTCTGCCTGTCAGCATGGCACCGTCTGCAACTTCCAAGATCAATGCCTGCAGTGAAGCTCTTGAAGTGAAAGGTTGTGGCCATTTTTTGTGTAACAGCAGGCAACCAATTCGCACAAGTCACCTTGGCATGTTCACAAGCTTCAAGTGTTCCGCTCAAAAGGACCTGGAGGAAGTTCCAATGATCGCTCTGCTTACTCTGAGAGAAACCAAAGGTGCAAAACTTCCCGTCTTCATAAAGCTCCAAGTCCAAATTCACTCCTGCACAGGATCCTCTGTTTGATCTCGGGCATCTATTCGAGCACCTGCGCCACACAAAACGATAACCAGGTTGATGTGTGCAATGTGTGCTGCATGAAACCTAAGCAGGTCCGCTGCGGTCTGCCTGTGCGCTCACGAATGTCCTTGATGGTGGCACCTGCCTTGCGGTGTGCTCACATTCGTGCATTGATGGGTGCAAGTGCAAAGTGGATGCAAATGGATGCAGGAATGCAAGCAAGAACCGACCTGCCTTGCCGATGACTCTGCCGATGACAGATTTTGGGAGCTGCAGGATTTCTATCTTTTCAGGCCTTTGCACAAAGCATGTTCACCTTGCACTCAAACTTGCAACTTGAAAATGTCTTGTACCCCTTCGGCTTTGCTAAAATGATAAGCCATCAAACGTGATAAAACGACTCTCACCCCGTAAACAGACTACAGTAGACACAAGTTGCACCCCCTTCTGAAGTGCAGTGTCAAGTTGGCTCTGTTGAACAAAAAAACACGAGCTGGAATGCTAGTGAACTCCGTGTGAACTCTGTGTGAGCTCCGTGTGAACTCCATGTGAACTCCGTGAACCTCATGAAGCCACGAGCCCGATTGGCCAAATCCTCAAATCTCAAAAACTGTCAGATTTTAGATCTTGAAAGTCTGTATGTCTGCAGGCCGTTTGTCGATGCAGTCCTGATCTTCCATGTCCTCCTCATATTCAGACTTGACAACTTCTATCGTTCTTGAAAGTCGCACTGCACCTGCCTGCTGTGGAGGAGCTTCTTGCTCCTTTCGACCTGGAGGGACAGGCTGATTGGGGAAGAATCAGTTTTGAAAGGGGCAGCCTGTCTCTTCTGCTAAAGGAGACGCACTTCTCCTGCGGTGCAACGCTTCCCTTGTTTAAGAAACGTCTGATGAAATAGCATTTCTCTGCCCTGCTTGCCTCTTTGCTCCCGCAACAGCAGCGGCAGCTGCTGCGGCTCTAAGTGCAGCTTGAGCGCGTGCCTCACTTTTGCTTGCGAATTCAGCATCTGCCTCTTCACAAACCGCAAAATATAGCAGATTTGACAAACCCAGCTACTTCGCAGGAGACCAAGGTCAATAAAGTTCACGTGCCCAATCAAGAATGCGCCCAAGGGTGCAACTGCAGTCTCTGAATCATCCAGATTTCCAGATAAGCTCCTGTCACGCAATGACAGCGTAGAAGCGTGCACCCTCGGAATCGTTCATAATTTCAAAACGTTCCAACGGCGCCTTTTGCGACTTTTTTCGTTAGTTTTTTTGTCCTGTCAACACAGCAAAGCATCCAGCTCTGCAATGAAGGCTTGAACATCAGGCAAATTGTCCAGACCCATAGATGGTTGGTAGGGTGTAGTTTCAGCAAGTTTTGTACTGGAAAGGTGTTGTTTCGCCAAACCGTTTGATGTTGAGTTCTTAATTCTGCATGGATAGACCATTTTGATTTGTTTCTGTCTCCTGTTTGGCTTGTCTCTATTCATATTTGCCTATTAGGTGGCACTTGCCTCCATTCATGTCTCCCAAGAAAGGTACTACCTGCAAGTGCACTGTCAAGCGTGCCAGTCATGTTGTGACGATAACTGCCCGCTGACAACGTGGGCATGGTCTATTCATCCTTCAGGTCGGAGACGCATTCAGGTACAGGCTGCATGTCTGATTGAATTGGACTCTCTATTTTATCCTATTGTATTGCAGTTGCTGTAGTTTTCTATTCTTTGACGCCCTTGAACTTGTATATGTTCCCCCTAAAATTGCCCGCTTTTAAGGGGGCCCACCTCACATTCAACCATGCCTTAAATGTGTTATCGAGCGCTTTTGGGGTTCTCACTTTAAGCATTAAAAAAGTGCCGCTGCAGGGTGCCACTGCCAGGTGCGTGGCCATGTGCCCTTGGAGCTTGGCGCTGGTGCCGCAGCAGGGTGCCGCAGCAGGGTGCCGCAACAGGGTGCCGCTGCAGGGTGCTGCTGAGAGATGTCAACCCATGGTGTACCAAGCACAGGAGAGATTCACATACAAGCACAAGGACAAGCTGTTTATAATTATACAAGAGTGGAGAGTTCTATATTGCACAGGAAATCATAGAACAAGCAGGCAAGCCTCCACCTGATGCCTGTTGAAACCCCTCACGTCTCAAGGAAAAACAACACCAAACTTCGCCATACTTCGCCTTTCTTTTCTTTTTCTTTTTTCCGCTACTGCTGCTTCGGTCGCCTGAAGATGAACACATGCAACTCCACAACGGAAAGAACTGCAGATAAGTTGTCTCCTTGCAGCACCAAAAAAGGGGTCTTACCAGACTCTAGACAAGCCTGCTGGGCTGCATTGCATTTGCTACGGTTATATATATATAATATAAGTTAGAGAGGTAAACTGTCGCTCTTTGCTCAATTCCAAGTTGCTCGAAGAGCCGCTCTTCTCTCGTCTGCGCCGTTTCCTCGGACTCTGAGACTTTCGTGTGGTTCCCCAGCTTCCCATGTGACTCCGACTCTGTTTCCGTCTTTTTCCAATTTTCTGGTGTGTTGTCTCGTCTCTGGGGGTAGAGTACTTGTCTTTGTCCTTCTTCTTTTCTTTCTTGTCCTGCAAGAGTTGATGACATCAAGATCATCACTTGTCATCACTTGAACCCCCCACTATTTCTGCACGGCTCCTTTCCAGCGGGCAAAAAGGGATGCCCTGGCATATCGAAGCCAAAGCCACTAGATGCCGATCTTCAAAGTTTCAAGCTGATGGAATTATCATATAGAAATGTAACAAATCTTATTGGATTTGTGAAGCGAACAACCAAGTTCAAGCATTTGAGCTACTATACCGTTACCCCTGGTAGCAGTGTCTGTGTACGCCTGGATATCCTGGTGGCATTGGGTAGCCAGGTGGGAGCATGCCAGGAGGAGGAGGAGGCATACCTGCGCTGTCGGCATACGCACCAAATATGCTTTACTGCAGGTTATATCTCATATATATATATACATATTCAACTCCAGAGGCATGATTGCAATACCACTCCTGGACAACATTTGGCAGTTACTGTACGAACAAGGATTCTTCCGAACAAGGATTCTGCCAAAGGGCTCAGTAAAGGAACACTAAAGCAGGCCTGGATAGCCAATTCCAGGGTATCCTGGAGGCATTGGCATCCCCTGCATTGGATAGCCACCTGGTGGACCACCAGACCTTAGTTGCAAAAGGTGCGTGAGGCAAAGTGCCTTACCATGGGAGGAACAGCACTTCAAGTTCTGAAGCCTGAGCAACCTGCATTCTGGCCGACTCACATGGTAACTCTTAACCTGAAGCATTTCGTGTTTCAGGTCCCTTCACGGTAAGCTCTGAAACGTCCAAAACTTTGAAAGCCGCTGTGTTCAGGTGATGATTCTGACATCAGCACCGTGCCTGAATCTTGATGCTTTTTCATTGAACTTTTGACAACCAGCTTGGACTGCCCAACGATATGTTTGGCTGAATGGCTCTCTGCGTACAAGGCTAGAACATGATTGAATTATATAGTTAGGAACTGCTGTTTCTCAGAGAGGCTCTCTTCATGATGATAGGCCCGGGTCAAGAGTCTCATGCCGTCCTCAATTTTCTGACTTGGCCTAAATTGAACCCAGGCAAAAGATCTGGCAAAGGCACAACGGCTGGCGCATGGCAACCAAGAAAGTGCTTCATGAACACCCATGGCATGCAGAGGCTTCGAAGGCGCACGTTCTCCATTTTGCAGGATTTGGATACGATAAGGGGTGAAACTTGATTCTATTCTCAAAGTTTGTTTTCGACAAAGTCCGCAAAGTCCCTGACAGTGTCGACCCAGTTTGGCAATTGGATTGTGGTTGGCTGCCCTTTCTTCTCTAGTACATTCACAAGGTTTGTTCCAAATTCTTCTTCCAGAAGCATCAAACAAACTGCTACATCTTCCCAGCTCGAAGCATCAAAAAAACCCAGCTCTTCGAGTGTCATGTCGATGGAGAACATTGCTGATGGAAGCCCGAGCCATTGAGAAATTCGACGCTCAACCGTTGCCAGCGTTTTTGAGCTCGCTTTCACAGATCTTATCGTCTCTGAGGGCCCAGAACCACGGAGTTTCTCTCGAAGCAACAATCTCCTTTGCTCACGCTTTTGTTGCATCCAAGTCTCGACTCTGTCCAATATCTTTTGGTCAGCTTGACGGATCTGCAATTCCGCCCAGTATTCATCCTCTTTTTGCCGTCGCCCCCGAATTTGTTCCATCGTCAAGTCTTTGTCAGACTCATTGAAGCGCATTTTCAGCTCATCTGTCAACTCGGTTTCCAATTCGGCAAAAAAATCTCGTCCTCGCAGCTCCCAATAATCCTCAGACACTGTTTGCCCTCTCTCTTTTCTTTGAGACCTGGGAGAAGGAACTCTGCCGCTCCACTCGCCCAACATTCCCAAAGAAGCGAGCTCCTCGACAGCTTTCTTGATGAGTTGGAACTTTTCCGCATCTCCCGTTTTGGGCACATCAGGGTGGTAAATCTTGGCTTTCTTTCGGAATGCAGCTCTCAATTCATCTGCTCCAATTTCGTCCATAGGTGATAAATCCAAAATTTCGTATGGATTGAACACTCCTGTGTTAAAAATTTCGGAATCGTCTTCAATTTCATCAACCCCACCCTTTCTCCGTTTTCCTGTTGCATCATTTGTACTGCTTTGAGTGAAAGGAATTGTCTCATCAGGGCGAAACCCGTCACCTTGGAAAAATGCGTTCAACCTCAGTGGTTGTCGACGTGGTTGTTTGGCATGAAAAATGTTGACAAAATGTGTTGCCGTTCGTAGGGGTAGAAAGGGCAACCAGGTATTCACACATGCCACAAGAAGCAAACATCGCAACGCATGAGCACCATTGCGCATGATGGTTCCAAAATCAGCTGGACGAAACGAAGTGAAATCATCAAGCACGAAAACATATTGACATGTTGATATTCTGGCAGTGCGCCCGCTAGCAACTTTTTGCTCAACTAGCATTTTGTTGTCGCAAACAAATATGTCAGTGGAATGATATCTGGCAGAAATCACATCATCTAATGCAGTGTGAGCCCGAGCGGCATTGAATTGTCCTTCGGAATGTGAGTCAGATTGAAACGTGACACACCGGTTTGTATCCTTTGCCCTTTTGCAGATATTCGCAATCTTTATCTTGTTAAAACAATGTGACTACAGACCCGAATGCCAACACACAAACAAAATGGCACTCTGAAAGTGTTACATGTATCAGTCACTATCATGTTAAATGAGAAACTGGTAAATTTGGTCACAATACACAATCACGTTGTGTTTGAACCTAAACATGGTCAACCAATCTATTCATGAATGGTTTTTGTACATGTGTGGGCCACAAATTCAGTGTTTGGCTAATGTTCTACAACTTTTGCCGCTCACGAAAAGAAGATTGTTGTACGCGGTTGGACTTGAGACAATGATGTTTAATTCTGTTTGCCGTACACGCCAGTGCTAAACAAACCATGAGCAATAGTTTCTGAACGTTGGTTGTTTTGTCAACAAAAGCCCGAAGGCCGATGGCGATTTGAAACTACGAATGTTTTGACAGGAAAAATGCTAGGACCGGCAAACCCCACAAGTTAGCAACTTCACCTGTAGCAAGAAGAAGAAGAAGCGCGGTTAGCAAAACAGGTAGAGGAAGGAAGAGAGTGAACGAGCATCGATGGGGTTGGTGGTTGTTGGTTGGTGGTTGTTGATTGGTGGTTGGTGGTTGGTGCGTATGTGTGTATGTGTGTATGTGTGTGCGTGTGTGTGTGTGCCCCTTGTAGTCACAGGGATTCTTTTGAATTGTTTTTTACTCAGCAGGGGGCTGGAGTGTGCTTCAGATGTCTCCAGCCAACGAAGACGCATCTGTCGCACAGTGATATAGTTCTGGGACGCCAGAACTACGTACCTGCCATTTTCAAACGGAATGGCACGAGGCTAAGCCCAGAACCTCACTTGCTGCAGACTTGAGCGATCGTCGTCATTTCGACCTGTTCGTCGCCTTCGACCGTGCGCTTTTGGCCTCACTTCCTCTTACAGACCCCCAGGTTCTTTAAAGGACTTTCCTGGACCTTTCAGGATTTGGGTTTCTTAGGCCGGCGTGTGGCACCGCTGTCAAGTCAGTACGCATATCCATAAGTGTGTTTGGCCTCGTGCCAACCCGGGATGAGCCCGCAGAGTGCCTCCCGTCGTGGACCCGTCGAATGGGGGTTTGTCGTTATCTCCCCTGCCTGGAGATGTAAGTGCCCAGAGCGGGCGTAGGCGTAGGTGGCCTAGGCCGAGAGAATTCAGATTTTTGTCTCATCTTTGGAATTCCAAGTTGGCTCATGCCTCTACGTGACCGCAGCGGTCTAAGCAGCCAGCCATATTGGCACGGCGTACGTGGCCGCAGCGGCCGAAGCTTGTTCAAGGTTCATTGGAACCTGTTGGAGCCTTAGCTTATCAGGTGTTTCGATCCTCTTTCCTGCCATGAATTCTTCCCCTGCTGGTCTCGCTCCGGTCGAGGGCATACCGATGAGGGCCCAGGCCATTCTACATCGGGAGATTCTTCACGTACATGGCCTGTTGACCCTTACCACCTTGCTCCTTCGCACTCGACTCGCCATCCTCTCTCCCACCTTCCTGGACTACATCACCTCGCCGCACCTCCAGGTACAAATTCGAGGACTTGATTCTGCAATTCGCCAAGCGACTCAGGCCGTTCATACCGGTCTGCACTACATTCAATGCAAGAGCTCCTTACCACCTTTGGCCTGATCCACGCTCTGACCTTTGATACTGCTCAATTAGATGCCGAACTACATCGACACACCACCTTTCGAGACCCTCGTCTTCCTTCCACTCCTCCTTCAGCTCCCGGCTCTCAGTCGACGCGACGAATGACTCCTACCAGTTCCCATCCAGATGATGACCCTATGCGGATGACTCGAACCTCCTCCACTTCACGATCTACACATGGAGTTGTCGTTACTACTTCGAACCGACCTCTCTCCATTGCGACGATTTGAGCCACTACGAGTCGCTCCCGGTCTCGATCTCACCCTCGCTCGAATCCGAGGAACACATATGCATAGTTTCACTCTTCCACCTCGACTGGTCTGCTTGGAAAATAAGCTACGATTTTTCTATCTTTTTTCGGTTCACATGTTTACACCTTGGCAAGGTACCCTTCTTCTTCCTTTGTTCTTCTTCCTTTGTTTTTTCTTTTCCTTTGGCTCCAGCTTGTTTCTCACGATTTATTCCCCACGCCCTCCTCCTCTTTCGCTCGTCGCCGCCTCGCCGCCATGTCTTCTTCGACTTCGACACCGCTCTCTCTTCCTACAGGACTTGCACCAGTCGCTGGACTACCTCTTGCAGCTCATGCCGTACTCCATCGGGAACTTTTTCATATACATTCTTCTTTGCACCTGATCCTCCTGATTCTACGAGGACCTTGGGACACAGTGACTCCTGCCCTCGCGGACACCATCACTTGCCCTCGTCTTACTGCTTCCCTCCGCGCACTGGAGGCCAGTATTGATCAAATCAAACGAGCTACCTGCACTACTCTGGTTTACACAGATCAACTTTTCGATGCTCTGGGCTTACTACATCCTACTCACCGCTTGACTGCCCAGCTCCGTGACCAGACCACCTCTTTGGACACACCGGCTTCTCCTCCCTCTCCCTCCTCCTTCCTGCCCCGTTTGATCCTTTCTCCACCCTCTCCCCTACCGGTTCCTCCGACGCCTACTTCGACAACTACCACTGGATCACATCCTCCTCCCCCCACCACTCATTCCTATTCCTTCCGTACTGCATCAAGCTTCGACACTGACGAGGACGACACGCTCTCGCTCCCGTTCTCCTCCACGACCACGTTAGGTCTTACACACTTTCTACTCGGCGTTTGAATAAAAAGTTGCACTTTATTTTCACTTCCTCACGTTTTGGCCACTTCCACCTTTAGTCATGTCATACTTTCAACTATATCGCAGGTTGATTTCTTCTTCTTCTTTGTATCACCTCCTTGGCTCACAGCAACCCGTCTGTTTCGAGCCGATTCGATCCTCCCCTTCTGCCTCTCGCCATGTCCGACACGACCTCTCCGCCCTGTGGCCTCGCACCGACTCCAGGTATACCTCTCGTTGCCCAAGGAGTTCTACATCGGGAACTTCTTCATGTACATGCTTCCCTGGCCCACATCCACACTATTCTCCACCAGCCACTTGCTCTTCGGTCTACTCCACTTCTCGATCGGGTGACCCATCCACACCTCCGTGCACAACTTGAAGGTCTTGACAACACACTACTACTTGCACTTCGGGTCAATCACGCCGCCATTCACTACACCCGCGAACTTCTCACCGCCTTGGGTCTCCTACATATTTTGCATCATAGTCCAGACCAACTTGAAGCTGAACTTCAGGGCCGCACGGACTTTGGCGACCGCGTACCGCTTTCTACTACTTCCTCGATTACTACTGTTCACGGCATTCCCATCTT